GAAGCATAGGAAATTGCAGCAACAGAACTGTGGCAGTGGATACTGCAGCAACAGCAGATGAACAAGTAGGAGCAAGACGAGAGCTCCATGAAGGCGAAGAAGAAAGTGGATGATGCAGGGCCCATTGCAGCATGCGTCAGTACCACTGAGAGAGACGTGTCACATGTGTACAGTAGCGGCTTTGGTGGGAGCGCATGTAGCAAGTCAACCCCTTACCAACATTCATGCAGTGAATAAATGTTGTTGCCACAATTTGAAAGTCCCGCCTCTCAGAAGCATCTTTTTAGACACGCACTCAGTGGGTCCCAGGGAGTTATCCTTGGCTTGCTGCAGGACGACGCCTATACCATATTGGCTTGCATCAGTGGTCACAAGAAATGGCTTATCGGGCTCCACAATCCCTAGATATTACTAAGTTAGCAAGGGTAATTTTCAATTCCTTGAAAGCCCACTCACTCGTTACTCATGTCCCAAGAAGTCAAGTTAGATCAGTGAAGGGATTCGTGATACTGCTGTACAAATGATTTGTAATAGCCAGCCAATCCCAGAAAAGCTCTGACCTCAGCCATAGACTAGTGTCTTGGCTAGTCTTGAATGACGTCCACTTTTGCATCCTCTGGCCTCAAACTATCTTGCAAGCTATCCTGACCCAGATACAAAACTTTAGTACGTTTGAGCTCACTTTTCTCTAAGTTAATCTTGTATTGGTGCTTCTGAAGGAGACCTGGCACTATCTCAAGATACGAACGTGCTCCTCCAGACTCTTTACTAAAACCAAGTACGTCATCGGATTGACAGCCACAACCTTATCTAAGTAAAATCATGAAAGACTCGATTCATAGCTTGCTGGAATGGACTGGGTCCATTACAAAGCCCGAAATGGCATCACCACAAATTGAAACAGACCATATTGTATATGGAATGCAGGTATGATCCTCGTGTCTTACCTGAATCGGGCGATACTTGCATTTACATCTACCTTGATGAAGTACTTAAATCCCTGTAGCCAAAGCTCATTAAGGCAGGCAAAGGGCTGTGCATTACTTTTTACGGCGTCAAGGGCCTCGAGGCCCCTATGGTCAATGTACAACCTCAGCGCACCTCCCTTCTTGGGCACTTACAAAACTGGAGTCGATGTCAGTCAGTTCCATGTGTTGCTTGTGAAGTTCATCCAGCTCCGTAAAGGACATCCTATAGATCCTGCATTTGGGGGCCTCTAGGACAATCTTGATTGCATGGGCAATCATATTTGAACAACTCGACATGAATGCTTTTTTTTTTTTTTTTTTGGTTGAAACAGGTCCGTATGGTCCTGGCTCCATATCCATTCTGGGGAACGTCAGTCCGGCTCCTTTCCAGGGGCAAGTCAAGGATTGAAATCATACATGTGGCGCATCGACGTGCGCTGCACCGCGCACACGCGCCGCACCGCGCACAACGCACGACGTGCGCGCACTGGGTAAGGGGTCGAGAAAAAAAAAAAAAAGTTGGGGAGGGGTGGTCTAGGCCCGAGTGGGATGTCGCGTCATAAACCACAAAAAAAAAAAAAAAAAAATTTGAGGCTGCGCGGGGCCTCCGAAAAAAAAAAAGGGGGGAAGTTAGTTTTTTTGTTTGTGTGTGTGTGTGTGTGTGTGTTGTTTGTTTGTTTGTGTGTGTGTGTGTGTGTGTGTGTGTGTGTGT